CCATGATGCAGGAAGTCCAACCCGACTTTGATGAGAAAACCGGGGTCACTCAGGAGTGCCATGGAGAGTACATGCGGTCTCAGGCAGAAGAACATGAGCGCCTCCCACAGGAGGGCCACCACACCCAGGCAGCGCAATATAAGGAAAAGCTGAATGAGATGAAAGAGGATCAGAGGAAGCTTCAGGAACAAGAACAACAGCAAATAACCAAGATGAACGAACTAATATTGCGTCAAGAGAACTTTATCAGAGGAATCAGGGAAAATCCACCTAAAAAGGACGAAGGTAAACAATTATTTACGCTACTGCTGAATTTATTGTTATAATGAACAATTCATAACTACAGAAATAGTTTTTGTTTTGGCGAATTACTTGGAGGTCTTGTGTCATGTTTTTTGGAGGGAACTGGAGGCCTGTTAAAGCAATTTTTTTAAAATTCCTTTCAATGCGGAACATGCATTTAATTGATTGTGATGATTCATATGGCCCCTTTAATACATGTATATTACAACTCTCCGTTGACTGTTAATCTTCTGTTTGTTATTCCCCAATGTTAAATTAACTTACTTACTACGAAAGGAGATTGTGCCGTGATCTGTCTCTCTCTCTATCTCTCTTAGTGTATTAATGTCTGGTCTTGAACTGTAATATCTACTTTTGCATATAAAATATGTCTAGATCTATTGCACTATCGTCGGTGATTAATTGCCTATCTGATGCTGGTCTTGATTTTGAAGGGGGGTACAGGGAGTACCAAGCGGACTATCAGAAATTAAAAGAGATATACGCCAACACACTGAGGAAGGCTCCATGTGCTGACGAGGAACTGGCACGGTTCAGTGAAGACAAGAAAAGAGACGGGGAGACGGTCATGACTGCTGATAAGGTACGAATTGATTATTAGTCTATACATAAAACACACCTAAAAGTTTAAAAAGCAGTATGTCCATCAGAAATCCGACAAAGATGGTACACCATCTAGACCAAGCCAAAGACAGTGATAACGGGGCAGACTTCCTAAGAGAAGTTGATGGGCTGACGTGGGTGCATGGTTTTAAGGTGCAGGGGAATAAAATTAACGTCAGAAGTAAGTTCTTTCTAAATGATTTTGCCTATCTGTTTGCATTGTTGACTTGGGAATTGCAATAAACGGCAGAAGAAAGTATGCCTCTCTCCTTAATTTTGTTCATATTGTGGAGCTATTTGGCCAACATTGATGAGTTCGTATTTTTGTGTGATAAAATGTTTCAGTGTTAAATTATATTTTCCTTGTTGAATTACAAGTTCCGTATCTGTTTAACGTGTTTACAAATCCCAGGCAGTCATAATATGCACCGGTTGTTTAAAGGATGCCAAAATTGGGGATTCTGTGTAAAGGTGGTTGCGAAATTCACAAGGAGGATTTTTTTTTTTTTTTTTTTTTTTTTTTTTTTTTTTTTGCAGGAGCGCCCTGAGTATATATCTGGTCGCTCTAGATAGACACAAGAGTCGCAGCACTGGTGTTAAAACATGTTAGCAGGTTTCTAAACTAAATATTGGCAATCTATGTAAATGTTTTCTTTTTAGATTTATGACACACCGTGCTACGATGAAAATTTAAATCTGGAGAGATTAGCATCACCACTGATACAGGTACGTACGCTACGCTACTGAAATGTTGCTAAAATATGAGACACATCCAGTCTGAAAGAAACTAAAGTATTTGTACATTGTGACATACTGTATTTGATTATCCTCCTCACTTTTCAAGTAAGAATTACATTTTAAGAGTCCATAATTCTAACTTTTCTATGTTTCTAATTTCAGACACATCTTCTCCAAATAGTAATTACTGTAGTAAGTGAACAAGTGTCTGTGAGAGTTATCCGCTTCTTGGCTCGAAAGCAGCTTGGAATACCTAACTCCAAGCTAGAAAACATCAGATGTCAGAATCCAAATAATGCACAGGAGGAAGCATTTCAGATTCTGTGGGAGTGGATGAAAACGAAAACAGGGGCAACAGTTCATAACCTTTTTAAGGCGCTGAAGGACCATCAGTTGAACGGGTGTCTGGGTTAGTAATATTTAACATCTGGGTCTCTGTTCTGATTGGACACGTAGACTTTGACAGAAATTTTTCTTGTTTATGAAACAGTTTGACGAATATAACAATTAGAGAAAAAGCGAATATTTTTTCTAATAGTCTTTCTCTTTCTAGCTAATCAGTTGTAAGTGTGTTATCGAACGTTGGCTCTTGACGCTTGTAAAAAATATGATTTGTTGAATTTACAGACCAAGTCAAGAAAGAATATTTTACCCTAAGGGAAGAAATATTGGCCAAGCCGGATGATGAGTTCCAAAAGTTTTGTCATTCTCTCGAGCACACACACGGTGTCACATTATCTACTATGAAGAAGATAGATACAACATGTTACGTCTCTGATCACATGAGATATTTGGGTTTGCCACTTCAAAGATTCAACGCCAATGATAAAGGACGTATGGCCGTGTATCGTCTTGAATGGGTCGGCAACTACGAGACTCCGGCTACGTCCGATTGAACGGTTGAGCAAAGGACTCTGTCCAGTTGACCTTGTTCTTTTAAATTTGACGTGATGAAGGATCGGCAAGTTATCAGCGTATTATATTCACGATGATAGTGTTGAATTATTATTTCTACAATGACTGTGTTGAACTATTACTTCTACAACGACCTTATTGAATTACATGGTATTGAGTTGTTTAGAACCTGTCATTGTATGGCAGCATTGCAATTAACACAAAGCTTTTCATGTCTTTGCAGATTATATATTTTATTTTACAGTTTAATCACAGTTTGGTAAGAACAACCATATTATTTGATACTTCAGTTGACTGAGGTGTTAATACACTCTTGCCCAAAATGGTTGGTACACGGAAATTTTGGGCTGCATATCGCCCTGTTTCTTTCATTATTATTGATATTACCAAATTAATACTGTTTATATTGTTAAATATGTAAAGCTGGAGGATCGGTAAAGAGGAAGCAATGGGCAAATACCGTTGCTGCAAATGGCACCCCAAACATGTTCAGAACCACCCCTCCAGCTATGGTTTCCTGGATATTTTCAGTTAACAGCCTCTCCCCAGGGAGCATACGCACTCTCATAGCTGGAGGAGGTGGATTTGTACTTGTTTGGGGTGCCATTTGCAGCAACGGTATTTGCCCATTGCTTCCTCTGGACGAAAACCTTAATGCTGCCAGATACAGAGACATTTTACAGCAGAACCTTGAGCCGTTCGCAAGAGGGATATACAGAGACAATTTTAGATTGCAACATGACAATGCAACTCCCCACACAACCCGCTTAATTGCAGACTATATCCGACAAAACAACATTCAGCTGATGCCACAGCCAGCAAGAAGCCTAGATTGAAACCCAACTGAGCACATGTGGGACGAACTTGGTCGTGCTATTCAGAGGAGAAACTCTACCCTGCAAATCTAGATGAACTGCAAGATGCCCTTCAAGATGAATGGACCAGAAATCCTCTCCAAAGAGCTGTAACTCTAGTTCACAGTATGCCACGCCGTCAAGCGGCCATTATCCAAGCTCAGGGTGGGCATACCCGCTACTGAGATTAATAATGAACTCTGAAGCTGTTTCTTGACAATTTCCCCTCATTTCAAGTTGATTGTCAATCACAGTACAAATTTATGTTTAATTTTTCACTTGGTTCTGTTATGTAAAAAAAAGTACTCTTTTTGGGGGCATGAGAAAAAAAAACTCAACAAATTAACGGTTTTTTTTCACTTTTGCTTTGGTTGTTTCTCCTTGACTTTACTAATCCTCCAGCTTCACATATTTCACAATATAAACATTATTAATTTGATTATATTAATAATGATGAAAGAAACAGGGCGATATGCATCCCAAAATTTCCGTGTACCAACCATTTTGGGCAAGAGTGTATTATGAGGTAGGTGTTCAGTAGTTACCTACCCTCTGACAGAGGGGTTAGCATCTGTATGAATGGCGGTTTTACTTAAAGGAAGCCACCCGAATATAATTATTTCTGTTCCGTTTTCTGTCAGTTTGTAGGAAGTCCGATGTGAGAGGAATGGTAGTCCGCTAAGAACTTTGTAAAGGTGACATTCCTCCCATATACTTACTCCCCTACTCCGACTTACCCTTACCTGCACTAATGAAATGGGACTCCAGGCTTCCATTCCAGACTATCACACGGTCCATTATTTATATAGGTTGATATTCCTTTAGATAGCTGCATTAAATGTCGATGGTTTTATTTATTTATCTATTTATTTTATACGAACATGTACATTGAATGGATTGTAAATCAGTCACATCAACAATGCTTGCATGAAGTCAAAACTTTGATCATCTGAAATTGACCGCTGCACTAATTTCGCGAGTGACTTTATGTGCCTTCATCATCGGTATGTGGATGTGATTTGTGCTAGAAATCTAGTCGCTTACCTACACTGGTCTATCGTTTCATTGTGTGAAAAGCTCCAGTGGCCAGACAATTTTCACGGTGCCATGAAGATAAACAGTTAAAAAATATCCACAATAAATTCGGCAACCGTAGGATGCGCCAACATATAGATAATTGCGATAGTATTTATGCCAAAACATCAAAATGAATAGCCCTGCCGTTCCAATCGGCAATCCTCGACTGTCGAGTGCGGAGACATCCGAGTAGTTCCAAGTGCTGCCGTTCTACCCTTTAAACCAATCAAAGCAACGGAAAGGGGTCACGTGATCACTTGACCTACATCTGATCGATGTAAACAATGAATTTCCATGCGAAGCTTGCACATTTAATAGATGATTCCCAT